GGTGGAGAAGATAAGAGATGTAATCTGTATCATAATGAAATTAAACTGATTCAGAACTGGTTGGATGGCTGAAATCAAACAGCAATTATTAATGGTTCTATGTAAACATGACAGGAAGTCTCCCATGAAGTACTACAGAAATCTGTGCTCAGTCTTACGTGGTTTACTATTTTTATCAATGACCTGGACAAAGGGATAGATGGTATGTTCAACAAATTTGCAGATAACACTAAATTGGGAAAAATAGCTAGCATAATGGATGACAAAAATCAGTATTCAAAAGGATCTTGACAGGCCAGAGCATTGGGCTTAATTAAAAATTAAATATAAGTGTAAATGTAAAGAAAGTCTTATACTTGAGTGTTAAAAAAAACAAACAAAACCAAACCAAAACAACAGTACAAGATGGGGGAAGTATGGTTAAAAAAAAAAAACAGCTGTTCTGAAAAAAGAACTGGGAGTTTTAAGGGACTGAAAACTCAATGATATTAGCCAAAAAAGGTAATGCAATCTTGGGCTGTATTAAGAAAGGCACAATTTCCAGGAATACAGAAGTAATGGTCCCACTGTACTCTGCCGTAATTAGACCGTATCAATTTAAGGAGGACATTGATAAGCTGGAAAGCGTCCACAAAAGGGCCGCTATGATGGTGAACGGCCTTGAATCCATTTCATATGAGGAATGGTTGAAAGAAATAAGTATTTTTAGCCTGGAGAAGAGAAGATGTAGGGAGTGGGATGACAGCTGTCTTTGGGGCTGTCTGGTGAAGGATGAATTAGTTCTTCTGGTAGAAGGTACAAGGAGGCCAATTTTGGCTTGATGTCAGGAAAAACCTCTTAATGATTAGAACCATGCACGGTAGATGGGCTACTTCAAAAGGTGGACAGTTCCCTCTCTTTGAAGGTCTTCATATAGAGGTTGAACACATGACAGTGAGGATTCCTTCAGTGTACGGATTGGATTAGACAGCTACTGAGTTCTCTGGTGACTCTCAAATTCTGTGGTTCAATCACATAGTTAGGAAGACTTGGGTTCAAGTCCTGCTTCTGACCTCTACCAGCTGTTCGAATCTGGGCAAGTCACTTAAGGGCTCAATGTCACCAGCAACTCCTAAGATTCTAAGTTGCAAGGCAGGTATCATTTTTCACTGGTAGGAGAATATCCTCACTGGGAATTCCCTATACTAATGAAATCACAAGTCGAGTATACGCACACACAGACACACAGACACACAGACAGACAGACACACACACACACGAATTCAATGTATACATTATCTGTAGAGTTGTCTATGAATTTAAGAAATATATGCTTTGAAAACAAAGACTTTTAAGGATGGGCATAGACAGACACAAATCCATCTCCTCTCTCCTAGTCTTCATCTCTTAAGACAAAAAATTACAGAATAAAATAATCACCAATTTTTAAATGTTTACAATTACAGTTGCAAAAAAATGCGAACTTTTTTGTTCTTGAATAAATATCAATTTTGAGACAGTTACAAAGAATAGGTAAAGATTAATTCAATAATTTTGGGAAAAATAAAAGCATCTTTCTATTCTACTATCCTTATGTTAAGACTTAATAATGCTTAACATAGTAAGTGCCAAGTGGTATTTTCTAATGAAGTCTTAAGTTTCTTAATATTAATAATAATCTATATAATCAATTCTTGATGATCTTCATGAACAAATTATGGCATGAATAAACCAAACATATATATTTCGCTTTGGAATATATTTTAGAAATAGTATTTAAACATGGGTGTGTGGATCATGTAGGGATTATATTCCAAACGAAATAATTTAGTTAAATGCTAAGCTCCTATCTCAGGAGAGCTGTCTGGGTTTTTCCCATTAAATCTCCTTCCTTTTCCTGGCTTGACCTCAGGACTCTATGACGTTCATTTTAAGCTGAAGAGAAATAGTATCATGGCTAAGATGGGCACAAAATATTAAAATAAATATAGCTGTCCTCTCTGTAAATTTCCTGAATATCTGGCTCACAATTTTTTGGGCTGAGAAAGGTAATTTAACATTTCCGTTTAAGAGGTCTGGACTTTTAGGTTATGTGAAGAAAGTAAACTATATGCAAATAATATCAAAACTCTAATATTAACAAATATTTGAAAGCAGTATTCCAGATGCATATAGCCAAACAAATGATCAAACAGTATAGTTTAAATGATCATAGTTATTTTTGAACCAGATTATAAAGAGAAATTTACTATACTTCCATGAAACAAAAAAATCTCAACCCAAACAGCCTCTAAATTTTGGTTCAGTTCGTGGTATCGTGAAAAATAATACTAGGTTAAATTAGTTTCATTCCTTAAGAAACAGTCACCTTAGATAGCTTCTGTTTCTCCAAAGAGAATAAAATGAAAACATTTAAGGCCTACGTCTAGGACATGACTTCAACAGCATTTTACTAGATTCAAAAAATTATTTTGAAGAGAGCTATTTAGAATAAAGTTGTAAATCTTTTCCTTGATTCTAGAACAACCGATTTACGTGGTTACTGAAACAACAAAATAACTTCAAGATCCTTTAACATATATTTGCTTTCATATATGGTAATAATGGGTGGCATACTCTATACAAAAATATCACACTAGTTATAGCTCATCACCACACACTTAAAAACTAAGTACAGATTACACTATTATTAGACTACGCAGTGAGCAGAACAAGCCTCTGGTGGATTGCATAGATGTTTTAGGTCATTTGGGAAGGAAGAGAAAAATGTCATTTTTGTCTGTCTCCAAAACTACTATTCAATGCACAACTAGTCCACATGCTATTTAACATTATTTGCAAGGAAATGCAAAACCTTAAGAGAATTCACAACCTTCAGCAAACTGATGCTGTATTTTACATTAATTTAAGGGTTACTTAAAAGCTGTAATTACAAGGATTCGAGGTGTTCATAAAGTACAAGATGACTTTCTAGTGTACAGTTGATATTGATAAAAAGTATGCCGAACATTTATATATGATGCTTTAAGGTCTGCAAAGCACTTCAGACGTTATCTCGTGTGATTCTCACAACAACCCAATGAGGTAAATATCTGACTAATAATCTGTTAATTTCAAGTGACATTTAATTGTGTGAATCCTTCATTTTTTTCTTTGAATATCTTAACTTTAAGACTATGCCTTGTGCACACACTTGGGACTGAAATTTACACATTCTGCCATAGCATCTGCTGTTTCAGCTTCGAGCAAGAGTCAGGACCTTGTACAAAATTCAGTGGATACTATTACAAATAGGATGTGGCAGGAAGTTTTCAAAAAGGATTATCAGAATGTGTATAGTAAAATGTTAGAACTGGTTTGAGCTAAGGGCTCCTATCCAGAAACTTTCACTTTCTGTTCCCTTCTTAATCAGGAACCAGATCAATACAGTTATCTTTAAGTAAATTAATTCTAAAGGCCCAGGATTCAATTCTTAGATTCTTTAAATTATGATATGGAAAAAAAACAGCTTTACGTGAATAACAGTATCTATTCAAAAACAACTTCTTTGTTAAAGTTAGATATCACCATGATTTGAAATAAAGATAGCCACTGTAAATGCTGAGGCTTATTAAGACAAATGACCAAATTCCAAGTTCAAAACAAAATACATATACAACAGCTATTACTTAACATGTGCGCTCAGCTTTCTCTAAAAGAAGACAAAAAAGTTTTGGAAGGTGAATGTGTGACTTTTATGTGTGAATGTCAGCTTCTGTAGTTTTCTCATATGCCAACTGTATGTGACAAAAACACTAGGGTCACCAGTCAGCAGCCTGAATTTGGACCAGGAACAACTTCAGTTCACAAGCCTAGCAACCAGTCCCATACTCTGACTGGGTAGGGATGAAAGGCATTCTTGGAAAATCCTTCCACATCAACCAAGGCCTCAGAGTACTTATAGTAGTTCAAGTTATTTTTGGCTAAGAAATAGCTGGGTGGGTCAGTGGAGTGGCTGATACCGTCATGTGACACAGATTCCCATTGTGTCACCACACTGGCCTGTTCCAGCCCTCCCTAATCCAAGTTCAGGGTCATCACACAGTTAGTCTTCAATTACCTTATTTTAAAATCTGAGAAATGCTTGCACAAACATTTACCATATTAGTTCTCTAATGAATCTTAGGAAATACTAAAAGATGGGCCCACAGGTTGTCACTGCCAGAGATGTGTGTGTGTATACTAGGTTGATTCTAAGTAGTAAATGAGATAAAATTATGATTGGACAATAACCTTCCCTTAAATTAGATTTAGATAAATCCTTGCAGTTAGACTGTCCTGGTGACATACACAATCATTTAAGAAACATTTATATTGAAAGCCCAGAGATAACAGCTCCTAATTAATCTGTGATTATTTAGATTACAAAAGGACTCTATTTTATGAAATAATTTTAAATGATTCTTTCAGCAATCATCTTCCTTAGGGCACTTACATTTGTGATATGGATTTTAAAAATCAGTATACAAATGATTTTCCAGTAACATATCTATTGAAGAAAGTATATTATATACAGTAAACATTTTAGTACCTAAATTATATTGCTTAGTTTATAAAATGGAGAAATACTAACATGTAAATAAATCAGAGAAACAAGCAACACATCATAGTTCAAATGTGCTTTGACTGTACGTTTTCAAAGAATGAATGCAAAATGAATGAATTCAGTTGTAGGAATGAAGAAGCAGGGTACAGGGCATCTGAATGACTTGCCCTTGACTGTCATCACTAAAGTTTCATTTATATGTTGTGTCCTAAAAGTGTGCTACATACTGTTCAGGACAAAAAGAGGCATATAGGCTTTAGCACATGAGTCAGAGGCACATTCAGAAGTAGAATATAGAACTCCTGATCATCACATTTACATGATAAAAATACAAGAGCCCTTTTTTGATCCATTCTGAAGAACTGTGGTAGTTATGTCTCATGCCAAGTTAAAGATATTAATTATTAATAACAATAACTGCTTATCTTTAATATACCTTGCACTGCTAGAAGCTGCTCCTCTGTGGTCCAACGGGCATTAATTTTCTGATTTGACTACAAAATTAAAGAGAAGTTTCCTAATGAGGACATGAAGAAAGACATTTCCAAAGTGCTTATTTTTAACTTTTCACTTGTATCAAAGACATAAGATTTCTCTAAGTCCTGATTTTCTGATATTCCTTATAAAGGGAATTAAAATACTCTAAGTTACCTTTTACCCACCCTGAAAGGGAAATGTGACAACTTGAGGATTCTGAGTCAACATCTGTGTAGCAGTTACTTGATATTAAAGCCTGAGAAAATCTATTAGGTTACCTTATTACTAGTTTTTCATTATGTAGTTCAGATATTTTAAATCTATTTTTAAAAAGTCTCAAGAGATGGTACTTTCTTTAGTGTAGGACTCCTTAGTCTTATCAGGTGTCAATTTCTGTGTCAAATAGGTTTTCCTGATATTTATTCTAAACTTATCTTTACCTAATGGTAATAGAATTAATATCCTATGTTAGTCAAGCAAATCAGCATAATCCTATATATCAGATTTACCAATGGGGCTATGGGCAAGTAGAAACTTAAACCTCTAAGTCCTAAAATTATTTTTAAAATTTTAAGCTATGTCACGTATTATACAAGTTTAAGAACAGATATATTTTTCAAGCTAGTAAACATTTCTGAATGACTTCCTTATGATTTCATAAATATATTTCACATGTATATGGTCTTAAATTTAACTCTGGCCTCAGCAATACAACATATACCTAATTAGTGAGTACCTGCTGACTAGTTAAAGGAACTTTGGTGGTATATACCAGGGCAGAAAGAAGAGGACAGACGGGCAGCACTGAGAACTTCTAAGATCAAGAGCTCCTGTGCTGTGCCACTGTCTGGTCATTTTTTGCCAAAGCAGAAAGAGAAATTTTCTCTGAGGAGAGCAGATGGAGCATGTTCATACTCTATCACCTCCTGCATAACATCAGGAGCCTCTGGAGTAAGTAAGCAAGCTGAGCCCATATCAGCTTCTTCACTATGAATACTGAGTAGTTTCATGGCAGGTGCAGCCCTTTGGTAGAAGTAATTTTTACAATTCTAAGAATGATAAGGGAAGGGGAAATAGAGGAGAGAAGAAGAGGATGGAAAAAAAAGGCTTGTGGGAAAAGGGTAAAATCCCCATACAAGAGGCAGAAGATTGATTTCAGGCAGAAAGGGGAAAAGGAGTAGAAGCCAAATCATGTCATATGGTAAAAGTCATTAGGCTTAAGGTTAGTGATTAGGATTCAGAAGAACAGAAGGGACAAGAGGTAAAAAGTGGAATAGGACAGGAGAAAGGAAAGTAAGAGATGTAGCAGCTGTTAAAGTGATACGAAGAAAAACCAGGGAGAGGAAAGGGAAGAAAACTAAATGCGGGAGAGGAAAAAGTAGAAGGGTTGGGGGAGAAGTTAGAAAGTTGTACAACTGCACTAGTTAAAAGGAGAGTGGCAAGAAGAGAATGGGAGGTAAAGTAGTACTACTCGGGGCAGGAAGGAGAGGTCCTGTTAGTGAATCAAGGGAAGACAAGATGACCAGGGGTGAAGGGAGAATGGTTGAGTAGAAAAGTGACAAATGATTTATAGAACAACCAGAGGCTTCCTGGAAGTTAATGAGTAGCCGCGTATTGTTATTGTTTAGTTCTGAAATTTAATTCAAAATTATGCAATGGGTACAAAATTTCAAATCTGAAGTTAAATAGCATTTTTATCCTGAGCTTGGTATTCCCATCAGGAGTAGGCTCTTAAATAATGAATCATACTTTAAAATACTAGCATTTTTAAAATAATAATTTCACTAGTGATGGGCACTCAACCTGTCATTTCATTGGTAGGAGGAAACTCCCTCTACCAACGCAGGTTGGCACCTTCTATGCAATTTAGATTTTTAAGAGTTGCCTGAGCACTGAGAGATTGGGGGACTTACCCAGAGTCACACAGCCAGTACATGTCAAAGGTAGGATTTGAAACCAGGTCTTCCTGACTTTAAGGCCAGTATTCTATCCATTATGCCATGCTACCTCTCAAAATTTTTTCAACCAAACATATTTTTCATCGAAAGAGTCTATGAAATGTACTTTCTCTCTCCTTGCCACCTCCTCCCACCCCCAAACCAGTTCTCCTTCATTTATTCTGTCTGTGGTATCACCATTTCCCTAAATCCACCAGGATAAGATACTCTGATCATCATTCGGCTCCTTCTTCTTTCCTCTTCATCATCTATTAGATCCAAATCTGTTAACAAAGCCAGTAGAATCCACTGGTTGACACACGTTAAAGTCAGAGAACGTCACTCTTTTGGTCTTTCTATCCATAGAACCTGCTGTAGGCTTCGAGTCAGGAAGACCTGGGCTCAAATCCAGTCTGTCACACTTACTAGCTACCTGACCCTTGGTAAGTCACAACCTCTGTATGCCTCCATTAACTCCCAAGGACTTATTTTCTAAGTTACAGACAGGTTGTGATCTCCTCAGGCAGAGAGAGTTAGCAGACCAAAAGCTCCTCACATTGGCAAAATCTCAAATCCTCCTTCCCAAATATCCACATTTCCAACACTTAGCACAAGGCCATATGTATGACAAGCACTTAATATCTGTTGAATTTGAAATCTTACTTATTTTTCCTTTGAATTACCTTTGCAGTCCCCTTTTCTCCATTCTACAATATTGCTATCTTGGATATATGACATCAATAATGATAGCAAACACTTATTAAGTTTATGAAATACTTTTTTTCCACAACACTGGAGTAGGCAGCATAAGCACCATACCTATCTACTTATGAAAACCCTAAGGAATAGAAAAACTTTATGCCCAAGGTCATACAGCTAAAAAGTGATGTTGCTTTAATCTTCAAGTGATGTTACTTTAATCTTCCTACAACATTCCTTTAGTGAGGGCATCCCCATGTTCACAAAGCTGTTTGCTCCCTATTACATTTGATTTTCACTGCCTAGTTCTCAACGTCCTCTAAAATTTAGCCTACCACATCACTCCAACTTCATTTCAGGCTCACCTACTTAATGCCTGCCCCATACAAGTCGATTTTTTCTTAGTTTCTAATCTAATCATAACCTTTCAAAGCATAGCTCAGATGCTATCTTCTCCTTAAAGCCTTCATTACCTACCAACTCCAGTCTTGCAGGGAGTCTTCCCATGTAACCTCTATTCAAGGAACAGACCATTGGGTAGTGCAGTGGATAAAGCCATGAACCTGAAGTCAAGAAGACCTAAGCTCAAATCCAGCCTCAGACACTTACTAGCTGTGTTAAGTCACTTAACCTCTGTTTCCCTCAATTCCCTCATCTGTAAATTGGGGATAATAATAACACCTACCCTCTGCCATCCCCCTTTTCCCATGCAGGGTTATTGTGAGGGTCAAATGAGATAATAATTGTAAAGTGCTTATTTAGCACAGTGCCTGGCATGTATTAAGCACTATATATTAGCTATTATTATTACCTTTGCCATTATCTAGCTATGTAACTTTGGACAAATCACTGTTTTGGTTTTTTTTAAAGTTTTTTTTTGTTTTATATATATATATTTATATTTATACTTATGTTCTGGGTGTTTTATTTTGGGTCATATAAGATTTGTGAATCCGTTCCAAAGTACCATTCAAACATCACTTTGTGGTAAGTTATTAATACTAACATTTCTATTGCTTCATTTTGACCAATATTTTCTATAAAAAACAAAAAAGGCAACTTCAAACTTCAAGAACATGAAAAAAAAACTAATATCATAGAAGTTAGGTAACTTCTGAATATCACAAATGATGGTAATTTAAATTATTACATTAAAATGTGATATTATAGAACCTACCATGTCTAATCCTTTTATTATTTAACATTTTGGGGCAAAAAAGAACTATGGTATGATAGGAGAAGCACTGATGCATTCACTGATAGTGGCAGCTGCCAAAATTTAAAGTTCGCAAAGTTTACTTACATGATCCAGTCTAGAAACTTCTATCTAGGGTCTCTGGATCTAGGCGTAAATGTCAGACTACCTGACACTTAATGGCCATTTGACCTTAGACAAATCACTTAATCTAAACCTCCATTTCCTTCTTTCTGAAATGGTGATGCCATCTTTTGTCTCTTTTGCCTCATAGGGTTGTTGTGAGGCTCAAAGGAAGTAACATATGTGAAAGTCATTTTTACTGCAAAGAGCTATACAAACATAGCATCATTATATAACAGCTAGCAGTATCATACTTTGTTAGAGTAATCTATCAAATTGTGGAGTTTAGAATGAGATACTAGAATTAAACAGAAAAATCAAACAAACAGCCTACTGTTTAGCATTTTTGGTGACTGCTGTATGACTCAAGATGCACTATGGTGGAGTGAAGACAGGGCTGACCTGAGCTTTGGGAAGACCTGGGTTCAAGTCCACCTCTGACACATACTGGCTGGGTGACTATGGGAAAATCACTCCACTTTTCAGTTGTCTATAAAACTGATGGCCTTGGCTGGTGGGTGTTTCCTTACTGAGCAATCCCTATACGAATGAAATCATAGATCTAGTCCATAAACAAATACTAAAGACCCTTTCTCCCAGAATTAGTTTGATGGGACATAATTCTAAAGCACTGAATCCTACAATTCCCATCCAAATACTCTACTTACAGGTCTCTACCTCTGTAACTCTTGAGTCTAGAAAAATATTATTAGAATAAGATGAACAAGCATATTAGTTTCAGGTGCACAGGAATCTCTTAAAGGCTCATTAAAACTGTCTTTGCTAGAAAGACTATGACAAAAAGTATTCACGCTTCCATTTTACAAAATAAAAAAACCACATTTAAAAATTTGTTTCTGGTAAAAAAAATATAAGAATGTAGGCTTCAGAAAAGAATTAAGACTAAATATTCAAACTGCAAACTAATTTTTAGCTCTAATATCTCTATGCTGTTCCCCTGAAAATGTGCCTTCACATGTTAAATTTTCCTTTAAAAGTATCCAAAAGGACTCTTTAAAAAAAAAAAAGGAAGCAAAAAACCAGTAAAAATACCTATAATATTAAGTTACGTCCCTAGTGCACAATCAGGGAGTGAACAATAATTCAGGCCTTTTTTTCCCCTAGCCCACCACACTAGGCTTCTTTTCTCTTTTCTATGCTACAAATCCATGTAACACGGGGGAAAGAAGCAGGCAGAAGATGGAGAGCCAAGAAAGCATTACTTGTGTTTCTTATGCCCTCCTAGTTTCACATTTCTCCTGACGAATATGTCTTTTCCTCTATTGCTACTTTCCCCCTTGATTTCTTGCATAAGAACAGGGGGGAAAACGGGATGCTACTCAAGCATGGTCCAATTAAAAGGGTGGTTTGACTCATTTTAAGTGAATATTCACATTTTATGACTCAGAAGATGAAAATATCTAATGGATAAAACATCAATATTTCAAAATATCCATGGTCTATGAAACATTAATCTAGGCATATGACAAAATAGTTACTTTAAAGTAACATGGTTTCACTATTTTAATGATGTCTTTTATTTTTTTTTTTAATCAACATACCTCAGGAGGCTTGAATTCTTCAATTCCCCCTTCCATTTTCTGTTTAAGTGCACTGTTTACTTGCTTAGCATTCTGAACCTTGAACACAAAAAAAATACGAATTGGCTAACTTACATTTAGCTGAACATCTGAGCACCTAAATCATACATGTACCCATGATCTTTACTGTTTGTGAATTTCCTTGGAGGAGAGGCAGAACCTATGTCAAGATTATACATATATACTGCATCACATTCAGATGATAAATCTGTTGTTCCTTATAGATAAAAGTCACTAGAGCAAACAATGAGTTATTTTTCTAGTGTGAAGATGAATTTTTGCTGGTCCATTCATAACTCTCACCTGCTACCTTCTATGATTACAGCAAACACTGGTTGAGATAGGGTGCTTTTTGAGGCCGTGGAATATTGCCAAAACCAAGCAGATCAAATTTCATGTTGTTTTTCTTATTATTACCATGATAAATTCAACTGCGTTCCAGATAAATATCATACTAACTGACTGCTATTAATTGCAACTTATGATAGATAGGTAGGAAATGGGTTTAAACTGCAACACAGGTTTTTAAGTGAAACATTTCTATGGTTAAAACTGCACTAAGACTTAACTATATAATAAGAGCTGGAAAAGACCTGGGAAGCCATTCGGTCTCACCTCCTCATTGTTTAGGGTGAAGAAACTGAACACCACAGGGTACTTTCTCTCTCTCTTTCCCTCTCCCCATGCTCCCCCTACCCCCGCCATGTAGATAGAATCTCTGTGTGTGTATGAGTGTATGTGTGTGTGTGTGTGTGTGTGTGTGTATGTATCTGTGTGCGTGTATTTGAAAATATCAAATTACATAACTTTGGTTTAGGCAGAAGTTCAGAATGATATCAGCAACAACAGCAGTAGACTAAAGAGTAAGGGCTAAAAATTGGGTAAGTTTTAGTTAAGGAAATGGGTTTTGTTTGGCTTATAATTTTAAAAGTCAGAAACAAGAGGAGATGGAAATTACTGCATGTATTTAGGATTTTTTTTTTATATACAGCATCAGCACCAAGAAATAAAACTAAGCAGTGTGAGGGAGAAAAGTAGAAACATGGATTTGTTTGCCATTCAAAGTTTCCCAGGCTTATGATTCTAAACACTGATTACTTTTTAGCCTTTCTTTGAGCTCTTATTAAAGTTTAATAAACAAAAGACTAGATAGAGAATTTCCTTTTATTATGATGGACAAAGATTTAGCTACATTAGAGAAGTCAATTTTTGCTTCAAACATATTTTTACACAGAAACTTGAGAAACGTTCATTTTCATAGATGATCAAGATCACATGTCCTGATTATAATCTCAATAAATAATCTTTTGGAAAAATAAGAGAAATTATGTTTACTCCATAATGTTATTATTAAAGTCATACATGAATTACTTTTTTCAAGAAATTAATTTAGAACACCTTCCTTTCTTTTCTGCAGATGTCAAAAAGAAGAGGCAATATTACATATGTTATCAGACATGGCTGATTTACTGGTTACTTCTGATAAGTTGTTTGTTTCTTTCTCTTAAAGTTTTGTTACAAGGAATGACTCCACTGAATAGGAAAATACTCAGGAATAGAGGATAAAAATTAAAGAAGGAAATAAGAAAATTAAAAAGAAATATATTTAGAAATGGGAAAACAAATGTGTGGAAAAGAGAAGCAAAAAGATTCTTATATACATGGTTAAGTGGCCGAACATATGGCAGACCTATACAGACAAAATATAAAGTATGAACAATATAGGCAGAATATGTAATTAAGAGTTGAAGGAGAAGAGTGGGAATTATTCAGAATAGTAAAACCAAAATTTAAAGCACTTATATTTGGACTGAGAATCCATTGTTGGGAACTATTACTTAATTATAGTTATATTGAATATATACTGAAACTGACTTCCATTCCTGATATTGTGGAGCCTGGGACAATGGTATCATGAATAGAAGGGAACTAGCCTGAGATTTTTAAAGTATTAAAGTACATGGATTATCCACAATGTAGTTACAAACAAATGGATAATTCAGAGTTGGTTCTATTTTAACTTGAAACATTTCATTTAATAGATGTCTAAAAGAAAAAATCCAGGTATAAGAATTTCAACTAAGGCAAAGTAGTTTCTAAAAAATTTATAGTAAAACTCAAACATTTATAGTAAGGATATTATTGGGTGAAATATTTATTTGCCTCAAGTATGTAAATCTGAAAACAAAATAAAATGCAATTTATTATTATTGATATAATCACTACACTTAAGTGTTGGGCTTCAAAAATTTTTGATATAAAGTATTAATTTTTAAACAAAGGACATGGTATGTTTCCATTGACTCCTAACTTGTTTGAAAACTGTAAATAAAAGTGTAACAATTTTATCATTTGAGATGATAATCATTGTCTAATTTATCTATACTTAAGGGTGACATTATGTAAACGTTAAATCCACATGTAATCTAAAAGGTCAAATTTAGTGAGCAATTTCAGTTTTCTTTCAAGAATAAAGAGCAACCGATACTTGAGTTTTATCCCTTCACAACCCTGGAAAGAACTTAAGTGCAAAATGTACAGCAGAAAAAGACAGGACACTTAGGCACAAGCCACAAGGTTAGCTCAAGTCAAAATGAACTGGAAATAAATATAGAGAACACAAGATACCTGACGTTTTAGGGAGATTAACTCCATATCTAGTTGTCTGAGAATGGTGTTGGCTGCATTGGGACTACAAGAAACTGCGACCACATCTTCCTGAGTCAAATACATGCCCTTGGGTGGACGGCACTTAGAACGCTGAGAATGATGTCGGTGTTGTAAACTCTGATACTCTCTCCTGCCCAGTCCAATCTTGCTAGTTTGGACAGGCTGTTCAACATTACCCTAAATTAAAAAAAGGAAAAGAAAAAGGAAAAAAATCAATGTAATTTGTACTGGTAGACAGGTACCTATTTTCCTTACTCTCAGAACACCTTAGCAAACAAAAAACAGCTTTAAGCAACTATATTATATTGGTGGTAACCGGGGGGGGGGGGGGGGTCTGTTCAGCCCTGTAAAAGCTGCAATTTGTTTTAGAACTAGATTATCAGTGCCCTTTATCAATTAAAATCATTCCATTTAATATCTGACTGCATATACAGCATTCACCCAGTAACAGAAATATTTAACTCCTTTTTTGACTAATAGCCATTCAATCTAATTCTGAGGTGCCTGGTTTCATGAAAAGTATACTTCAGCAAGGCAGAGGCAGGAAGAAAAAGAGATTGGGCAGGTGTATACACACATACACACACACACACACACACACAAGTGAAAGAATGCAAAAGTGCAAAATGAAAGTTGTAAACAAAATGCTATAAACTTTAGATAAAGGAATAATCATTTCTTCCTAGGAATTGGGGAAAATGACAGGTTTTATGGAAGACATGACAATTTAGCTGGGTCTTAAAGAAATACAAACAACTGGATAGGAAGAATGGGAAGAGAGCACTCCAGATAAAAGAAACTACACGTGCAAAGTGGTGAGGAAGGAAAAAAATAAGAATTTATGGAGATGGGAATGTATGAGGATTTGGTAATAGTAAGAAGTCTAATTTGATTGGAGCATGCACTATAAAACGACAATAATCAGAATCCAGGTTTTACTGCGAGTTCAAACCACAGAAAGCCTTACTGTATAGGCAACAAGGAGCCAAGATTATTGAAGGCTTCTGAGCAAGACGTTGCAGTGTTCAAAGCTTTGCTTTAAGATAATGAATCAAGTAATGGAGTATAGAGTAGAAGAAGAGGGAATAGAGGTGGGGACTATCATAATAGGCCTGGTGAAATGCAATTAAGGCTTGAATTAGGATTTTGGCAATAGAACCAGAAGAAGGGAGCAGATGCAAGAGATATTTTGTAAGTAGAATCACAGGATTTGGCAACTCATTGGATGTGGAGAGTAAGTGAGAAATCAAAGATGATATAGTCATGAGTCTGGATAAAAGGAAAGTGCCACTAAATAAAGATATGGAAGTCAAGAGCAAAATAAGGTTTTAGGTAAGGGATTAAAGATGATGAATTCAAGTTCTGATTAACTGAGTTTGAACTACCAGTACAATGCCTTGAATATAGAAGGTACTCAACAAAAGTTTGAATTTTCAAATATACATTTAATACTTATTTGTCAACTTTTGATTGGCTGAATCAAAGGTATATATCTCCTTACTGATGCAAAACTAAATAAGTAGGAAAAATGTATTCAGGCTTTTATCTTAGGAAGTTTAAAAAAATTCAAATCTACAGGCAAATTATCAGGCTATCTTCTCAAAGAATGCAGGCAGGTCTCACAGAACATTTGACTCATTTAAACCTCTTGCAAATCTGGCAATCGGAAAAAAACTGGTTTAATATGTTCTCATACCAAGTATTTCACTCTTTGACAAGCATCTGCGAAGATGCTTTAGGATTTGGGGCACAGTCCAAAGACAAATTATAGTGAACATAATTTAGGCACTAAAAGAGTTGCAGTACACATAATTTAGATGTAGGCAGTTTAATAAACAAATGAGATCACATTCCCAAGTCCTGACTATGTGTAAAAGAAGGAAGTTTCAAATTATTTGAGTAAATCTAACAGGAGTTTTCTACCACACAACTGAACATACTATCAACTCAAAAAGATCTCAAATATCAGTAGCAGCTTACATTTTACACACTGCTTTCAAAAAGTCCTTTCCTCAAAACAACCCTTTGATGAAGATATTTTACAACTGGGAAAACAGATTCAGAGAAGTTGATTTGCCCATTGTTACACAGCTAGTGGCAGAGATGGGACATGAAACTGGGTCTTCTAACTCAGAATCCAATCATCTTTCTGATATTCCATACTGATCTTCTAATGTAAAAAATATCTAAAAAGCATATAAAGGCAGCCATACAAATGTCTGATACTTGTGCCAAGGACACAGAGCATCAGGTACCTTTCCTATCTATAGCTGTCTATTTCTTCTGGAAGCAGTTGAAAAATGAATAAAGCATTATCGCCCTTGAATACTATCTTCCCTTTTCTTATGACCCTTTTCAGAACCCAGGCAGACAAAAAGCTCAATGCCAAATGAACACAGTAGCAGTTTATTAATACTAGCCAGGAAATAAGGTCTTATTTTGAAAAAATTTCTAAATTTTATTTATTTTAAAAAATATTAGTGCTTAAAAGAGGTATTACTTATTTTAACCATTTTTGCTGGAAACTTTTGAAAATATACTTTTCTTCCTTAGAAAACTATTTAGCCTTTTCTTGATGACAGGGTCATTATCATTATGAATACTACACACACACACACACACACACACACACACACACACACACACACACACTATTTCTACACCAAACTGCCCTAGATGATGATTTTTCCCAGGTGGCGTTTTCTTTTGTTTCCACTTACTATCAGCTGGCACGTTTCATTGCAGTGTCTGTTTCTAGGAGATATCACCTTCTAATCTGTTGTTATTTAGGAAGGAACTAACAATTTCCAATAGAAGCCAGATAACTAAGTTGGTTAAATCATTTGCTTTATCTTTATATATAAAATGCTAAGTTGAATGGGTTTTGCCTTGAGGAAATGTTACGTTCCTGTCCTAGGGAGTAAACTTTATTAACAAGGTTTTTTCACTCACTTTTGACTATGTGTTTCTATTTTGGTTGACTGAGATTGGCAGAAGTCTGACCATTAAATAAGTGTCACTTTACTATATTTAAAAAAAAAAACACCAATCTTCTATATGTGTACAGGGGACAGCTAGGTGGCAGAGAGGACAGAGTTCCAGGCCTAGAATTAGGAAGACTCATCTTCCTGAGTTCAAATCTGGCCTCAGTCACTTACTAGCTGTGTGACTCTGGGTAAGTCACTTAACCCTGTTTGCCTCAGTTTTCTCATCTATAAAATGAGCTGTAGAAGGAAATGGCGAACCACTCCTTTATCTTTGCCAAGAAAACCCCAAAAGGGCTCACAAAGAGTTGGACATGATTGAAAAGTAACTAACCAAAAAAGTACACAGCTTTGGATATAGAAGGAACCCAGAGGATCGTCTAATCTTACCTTCATTTTGCAGATGTGGAATTTATGGCCCAAAGAAGTTCACTGGTTTTCCCAAGATCACATAGCTAGTCAGTGGGGCAGCAGGACTAAAACCCAGTTATGATTTATTACTTCCCAATCAGCCAAAAATAAAAGTTCCTTTCTTTAAGTTGTTATTCATAACTATTTAAAAAACATGAACCTTTATATTGCGATGTGTTTTAAAGCAAAATTTTTTTTCAGATGAAACTCTAGTCTTTTAATCTCCCTTGGTGGAGAAGTAGAGAAAATTCTAACATGTTCTGTGACTGATCAACATCATTACCTCTTTTCTGGCTTCTTTTTTAGGATCATAATCACTATCATTCCCATCCATCGGGTGTGCTTCTTCCACATCATCATCACTGAGGACAAACATCACAATTAGTAAACCTGGCCCTTTCCTTATACTTCAATAATCTTAACAGTGTTTACTTATTTACAGTTTTAACAGATGCTAGATACTATTTAATAGAACAAGGGCTACCCTTCCTGACAAAACTGCCTTTAGTAGATGATACTGTAATTTAATTTTTTCCAGTGTTTAAAATATTTGTCCTTTGTTAAGTCCTTTTAAATATTATCGCAGCAAGATCAAAACTGAAAAAAGAGACTCATTAAAAAAGGGTTAAAAAAGGGAAGAGTATTTGGAAGAGAGAAAAAATTAGAAGGGTTTAATCTTTGCACATTTTGCTTGGCAATATTCTTACTTATTAAATCAGTTACGCTATTAGTAGATAAAGCCAGACAAAAAATTTAGTAACCTGTATATATTTTTACTGCTAGAAAGTTTAAACTAAAAAACACATGCACTTAAGTTAAAAAACAAAACAAAACAATAACTGCAGAACAATACCTTATGTCATAGGAAATGTATTCATTTTAATGTTCATTACCAAAAGGAAGTATTTTTGATTCTGGCTCACAGTTCACATTAAATAGCCACTAGTACCTGAACCTGCAAGCTTGTTTGCAGGGTCTGATAAGTTAAGAATTAAGAACACTACACTGGCCAGTGCTTTGGCCATTTCACTGACTCCTCTAGTCAAGGATAAAACATAGAAGTTTTAGAAAGGGAAAATTTACAATGTTCTTTTTTTTTCTTTCTTAACCCACATCACCATAGCTTAATCAAGCGTATCATTTAATGCAATACATTCAATTTAACAATGTACTCTGAGAGAGCAGTAAACCTATTTTCTTACCATATCTGGTAGCTATTCTGATGCTTCATCATAGTGTGGAGGTGACCCTGGTATCTTGAAGCTATGCCCTCAATGTATAAACCCTAGCTGGTTCTACCATTATGAAAAAGCTTCAAGTAGTCCTGGCAGTAGGTGGCCTGCTTTTGAAGGATCAGTCAAGCTAACTACAAACAGACTCATCATTAGAAGATTCTTTGGCCATGGTAATTCATGAAACAAAAAAATAAAAAATGGTTCACAGTCCCATGTAGCTTCCATTCTGCATGACTGTGACAGTGGCAGAAAAGATGGAAAAGAATGCCAAAAATTACATAAATTTTAGACTATCGACAAATAATAACTTAGCTGTTATTACTCTAAATGTGAGATATTTATCCACAAACTGACATATGGACATACTGCTGGAGGAAATGAAATATATCTATTTTGACGTCACTAAATAAAATAAGAAGAAAAAAGAAGTTGCATGTAAATGGAAAGATAGCTCAAAGGCTACCAAAAGAAGTTAATTAGTTTTACTGTGTAACAAAGGACAAGAAAAATCATTTTATGGGACATTTAAAAAAATCTCATATAGTTGTGTTCTTAATAAGAGTTTGCAATACCACCCTGAAAATCTCTATAGTTTACTTGCTAATACCTGCTGCTGAGGATGAAAAAGTTGAAAAGAACTTGTTAAAATTCTACAAATTAAATCAACATGTCCTTTAATACTTATTTACATCAAAACAAAGGTAGGCAAGAAGAGGAGAGTAAAAGTATGTCGGAGAACATTGGAAGTAGGAAGTTTAAACTATAAGCAATTAAAAAGTCATAGACTATACAGAATTTTCATGCCTACATATCACGAATGCCTCCTTTGAGATAAGAGATCAGATACTAAATGTGGCAAGCATTAAACAACAATAAAAAAGGGACAGGAAGCAACTGGTTATAAATACAGGAGTCATTTCTTACTCAATTATATGTAGCCAGCCACCAAATTCTTATTGTTAGAGTAAAGCTCAAAAACAAACTAGAAGAATTAACATGTGAAGTTATGGCAATTCCAACCTGACTTAAAGAAGACTTTGACATCAAAAATGGGAAATAGCTAAAAGAACAGATATTACACTGCCATCATTTCCTGAGGAAGTTTAACCAATATAAATCAATCACAACAAGGAAACCAAAAGCCTACAGATCATCTCAATCAGCAAACATTTGATCTTGCCAAGTGATAATTTCAGACAATGGTAACAAACTTTTGTATATAAACCTGTCTATAAGGTCCTGTAAAGGAGGATGGTGGAAGATTATGAGCAGTGTCACATCATAAACAGGTAAGAAGCAGTGGAGGAAAAGGCAAGTCTAAAGAAAGACTGGTGAGAGACCTAACTAAAAAGTCATCCCTAGGGAATTTAAAGATGAAATCAGAAGGAGAACAACACAAGAGATGAAAAACAGAAATGATATGTAAAATTTTTTTAAATAACAAAAAAGGTTCTTCTTTTCCCCCACCACCAAGAGGTCAACACACTTTGACTCTAATATCAGATAATCCAGATTTGCTAACTGAGGAAATAGAAATGGCACTAAAAACAAAGATGAGAACATCAGCTGGACCAGACCAAGTATATTTAGAAAAGGTCTGCGCTGGAAGCAACAATTTTGAGGGTATTAGGGGATTAATTATTCTCAAGATGAGGAGAGGGTTCCAAAAGTTTGAAAAATACTTGGACTTTATTGATACCCAAAATGGTGACCAAGAGAACACTAACAACTACTGACCCATATTGCCAACATTTCCATCTCTACAATTTTTTCCTGATAATTTAAACATGCCAAGGGTGCCTCTGATGAAGAAAGGAACAGGCAAGCTTTTCTTGAATAGTATTCTTAAGCAGACATCTTTATAGTCATACAATTGAATGAAAAGTACCAAGAGTAGTCTTGCTATTGGTTGATTATTTTAAAAAGCATTGTATTCAGCTAAGAAAAATGTCACCTTAAAGGCTTTCTTCTTGAGAAAATAACTTCTATGCATACGTCAAAGTCATATAAGATATCATGTAACAGACATGATTTCATTCAATAATTCTGATGAATCCTATTAAGCAAAGCATCAATTAAGGACACACTTTTTTTTTTTTTGTAGGATACACTCTTGCCAAAGGTGTAAGCAACTGCCAAAGAAGATTTCCAATGCAAAGTCAAAATGGAAGAGAGTCTCTAAAAATTGTGAAGGGCTTCAGATGCACCTGCATGTGAATGATACTGTGTTGAACGCATCAAGTCTTAAACACTGTGGTGACTCCTAAATGAAATCCATGATCAAAGAGTTTGGTGTAATTACAGACAATGGAAAAAACAAGCAGATGAAGAGTGCCAACTGTCCAGACTATGCCATGCAACTGAACAACCCACTGATGTAGTGTTTGTTTAAGATGCCTGCATATCAAGTAGATAGTATTATTACCAATCCCTCCTCCCCCATGTTATAGGTGGGGAAACAGGTTTGAGAGAGGTTATGTGATATGTCAAGGATCAAATAGCTAGTTAAGTGTTAGAGGCAGGATTTAGTGTCTACTGTGTTGTGAACAAGACCATGTTGCTGTTCCAAACGAAAGCCCACCTTTTATAACATTGATATTCTGACAGTTATGCCATGTGGCTATGAGCTAAGGAATACCACACTATTTGTAGAATTAAAGTTGAAGATCATCCAACTATTAATGGAGACACATCATAGGAGTGAAAAGGCCACAACATATTATCAAAGAAAAACTGCTTGAGAAGCAGTAGAAGAGATATCATCAGCAGGGTGTAGGATTGAAAAAGAAATGGGCTAGTCATGTGGGGAGACTGAGATATAGCTGATGGACAGTATACATGCTTCACTGGTATTTACAGAACGTCAAGTGAATTAGAGCAAGACTCCTAGAACATTTATTGGACATCTTATAGAGAATTTATGGAAAGACAAAGACAAGTGTTGAAAAGTATAAGAGGGCAGGGACAGGTTATGATCTGTACCATTGGAGAGAGAATCTTCAACAATGAGATTAGATTTATAAAATAATTTTTACTTCAAAGTAATTTTTTCTGTCTTAAGCAATGAATCCATTAAATCTAAACATTGTACAAATATCAGAAGTATTAAACCTACCTGTCACCCTGATTATGTCTGTTGGCCAATTTTCGAGCCTGGCGATCCATCAAACTTGTTCGAGACCGCGTTTTTTTCCAGGAATAGTAATATTTTACAAGGCTCGCAATAGTCTTATCTGGAAGCTAAAATAATTTGTTATTAATATGTGCAGACTGAATTTGTTATTGATACTTTTAGTAGCAGCTTTAAGATATTTTCCATAAACAGCAACTGTGGATACAATAGTATTTAATTAATTTGATGATGATGAGGTAAGCTTAAATACTTGATGAAGTCATATGCTATTCCACATAGTGGGAAGAAGGAAGGTGCTAGAAAATATGGGGCCACCTCTATCTTTGGATATGATCCTCCTTGTGTAACATGCCTGGCTTTGCATATAGTAGGAACTAAAAAATATATATGAATGCTCTTCCTCTTGAACTCTTCCTTGTAGAATCTCTGGCTTCCTTCAAGACCCAGCTCAAAAGTCATATCTTGTTGGAGGACTTTGCTGGTACCAGATGCTAATGTCTTGCCCTCTAAGGTTCCTTTTCATCTACTCTGTGTAATTATCTCTTATGTGTACAGTTATTTGCATGTTGTCTCCTCTATTATATCATAAGCCTTTTGACAGCAAGGATGGTTTTTGTTTTTAACTTGTACTCCCAGTATTTAGCACAATGCCTGGCACATTTTTTATTGTTGTTCAGTCGTTTTTCAGTCATATTCAACTCTTCAGGACCCCATTTGGGGTTTTCTTGGCAAAGATATTGGAGTAGTTTGCTATTTCTTTCTCCGGCTCATTTTATATATGAAGAACTGAGGCAAATAGAGTTAAGTGACTTGCCCAGGGTCACACAGCTAAGAAGTGAGTGAGGCCTTATTTGAATTTAAGAAGATGAGTCTTCGTGATTCCAGGCTTGGCACTCTATCTACTACACCATCTCGCTGACCTTTGGCACATTTTAAACACCAATGAATTCCTGGGGACTGACTGACTGAATGTGACAAAGTATCTTTGTCAACTTTGCACTTTGAAGACTAATATAGTAAGGGTAGCACAAGTACCATGGTCCCAAGCTGTTTTGAATGAAATGAGGATGGTATTCAATACTTACTGTTTTTCTAAAAGTCTTTTCAAAGCTAGAAAACAAGTTATTTGTGCCAGTTTTATTTAAATGGTAGAAAGGCAAATTGGTTCCAATTACAAAACAGCTTTCATATATGTGAAAAGGCCTGCTAGTCATGACCAAACACACTTGACTATAAGAAGACTATCCTCACCAGTGTCTTTTTTCAGATTCAAATGCTAATAAAATAGTAACAAGCATCTCACCATTAATACATATGTCCAATCACTCAACATTTAGTGTGCCCTGCAGATGGCTGAAATATCTTAGAGGTTTAAGAAACAAAGGCATCAGTCAACTCATATACAACACTTTAAAAAAAAAAGACAATACTCAAATAACTGACTTTTTTTTTTTAATGTGGTTTCATCTCCAGAAGAATTTCAAAATAGAAATAAAGATGCTAGTAATTAAAAACAATCCAATATTTATTCAATTTTACTAAATGTTTTCTTGGAACTACAAGTATGCTTAAAGATAAATGGAAGAAAATTGCTGACTACCAACAACAATTAGTGAAATTAAGAAAAGTGAAATGGTGAACTTAAGATTTCATAACATAAAAAGCATTTTCATGCTACAGAGTAGTAGTAAAAACTTGCAAGTTTTTATAGATATGAAAACCCTAGTAATTAAAATTATTGTCCAGGAAACTAAAATTCAATGTGTAACCACTGCATCCTCTTTGCATTTAATCATGGCAAAGTCACAAATAAAAAATTTCAATATCATAAGATGTCACGTAAGTACAAACTATAGTAAAATCAAAAATGTCACCTTACCATTTGCTGAATCCTGTGGAAGCTCTTCCCATGAAAACTAAAGGCTTGTTCAAAGAGGACTTTATCTTCCACGGTCCACTCATCAGGGAAGGGAGTGAAATTAGGCAGATCAGCAAGGGACTTCTCAATGTTATGTTTATGCCAGAATAACATGCCAAGTGCCTTTGAAGAGAAATCATCCCTTTTTGGTTTTAGCTGACTTATGTCATATCACACTTTAGAAAGTTAAACACAAATTAAGTTAAAATACTAAGGATCCGACTTCAACTGAAAAACAAAAAAGAAATTAATAGTTTTAGGTTTTTTAATCTGTAGTGCCTATGTATTACAGCTCATATGCTTTCAAGGGCCTGCAAAAAAAAAAAAAATCCAGGCCTCAGAACAGTGGGTGTCTATATACCATATGTGCTGTAATAACTAGGCAAACAGTGAGTTGAGGATATATTGTTTACACAATTAACAAATTAAGTTTTTAGGCTAAAAAAAGAGACCGTAGTCCTATTTTAGTTTATGTCTTTAATATTTGTGAATATTGTTAATTTAGAAATATAAAAAATGAAGAAAATAGATATTAAAAGAAAATATTTAAATAAGTTAAGACTTGAAAGAAACTTAACACCATACCACTAGCCACAGTACAAAAATAGAACAGCAAGGTGGGGATTCAGTAAGGAAAGATTTCAGTTACAGCTTTTTAAAAGCACTCCACGATCAAAAAGTCCCAATGAGTAAGAATGCATTGAGTAAACTTTTGAACAATTTTCAATATTTGTTGTTTTAAATTTTTAAAGCTTAATATATATCTTAATATAAAACAGTAGTTAAGACTTCCATTAGACCATATGAGATTCTTCATAGTGTTTTGCTCACGAATGGACAAAAAGAGGGAGGCTCCTTTTGGAATGTTTAAGTTAAGTTGCTTTACTCACTGTTTTACTATAACCCTTTGGAAGCTTGAAATGGAAAACTTCCCTTGCCAATACTTTCCCCCTCTACTGTAGGCCTCATGTGTTTTTGAGGAGTTGGTTCTGAGCACTGCATGGCTGGCCCTAATCTTTATTGAAAGACTAATGAAATATAGTTTGGAAAGAAACACAAAAACCAGACACATTAACTTTATAGGCAGTTAAGTTTGAGAAGCTGCAATTTGGACCTTAGTAATATTCCTTCAAAATAAAAATAAATTACTTAAAATCATGTGGCTACTTTTTTCTAAAGCTGCACTTCTCAACCAGTCCTTCAATTACAGGCTAAAAAGCCAATAGATACAGAACTACACATTTTAAAAAGTTTCCAATAAAAAAAATTGAATATATACATATTATGTTGAATATAGATATATATATATACACACATGAGAAATCTCTATTTAAATGGCTATGAAGTTGAAATGATTTTACATTGTCACTGTCTATATAACCAATTCCTAATATTTCAGAGGTTGATAATGCAGTTTATAGATAACCCTTTCTTGCTTCTCTTTCCCATTTAAATAATATTTTATTATACAAAGGAAGAAGAGGGGAGAGGCTACTGAAAGTAGCAAATTTTAACTACCTGGTAGTAACTCTGTTAACAGATTTGTTGGAAAAAGAAACTGATCCTTGGTAGAAGTGAGGTTAAAAAATCTTCAGTGATAATTTATGTTTTCCTTTCTCCTCTCATAACAGATAATCAAGACTGGACTGCCTTGGGTAACTTTTAATGTTTACTGCGTGTACATAAACATTTTATTATTTTTATTTTTAAGATATTATCAAGATATTATTTTTAAGACATTTAATACTAAAAGTTGTTTGCTAGATATTTTAGCAAAAGTTTTAAAAAGTAATGAATCAAGTTTTCTTTTAAGAATTAAGTCAAAGTCAATTCCAAAGGACTCATGATGAAACATGTTATCCACCTCCAGAGAAAGAACTGATTGAGTCTGAATGCAGATTGAAGCATACTACTTTTTTTGTGTTCTTTTTTCTTTTGATCTGTTACTTTTTTCACAACATGACTCATATGGAAATATGTTTTCCATGATTACATGTACACAATCTATATCAAATTGCTTACTGTCTTAAAGCAGGGAGAAGGGTGCGGGAGGGAGAAAATTTGGAACTCAAAATTTAAAAAAAAAAAAGAAATGTTAAAAATTGTCTTTAAATGTAATTGGAAAAAATAAAATACTCATTTAAAAAAGAATCAAATACCAAAGAACTAGCTACACATGGAGACATAAGGATATTTTTTAAAAAGAATGATGGATACATCTAAAGTGACCAACTTTACCCAAGGACAGAGCAAGACATCTCATTTTATTCAGAATTCTCTTTATACCAATAACGACATCTTCTGACAACTCTCAGCAACTTATTGTGCTGTATTTGAGCATAGAATAGTATTAAAAATAACATATAATTAAGAAAAGAGTGAAAATCTTTGGTGTGAGTGAATAACTTTCAAAGTAGAATCCCGAGTATCTTGATAGTTTTTTTAAAATTTATTTTATTTTTATTTTATTTTTTTGCTTTTTGGTGACGCAATTGTGGTTAAGTGACTTGCCCAGGGTCACACAGATAGTATTGTCAGGTGTCTAAGGCTGGATTTGAACTCAGGTCCTCCTGATTCCAAGGCTGGAGTTCTATCCACTGCACCACCTAGCTACCCCTCTTGATAGTTTTTTAAAAGCATGTACTTGAAACATTTACAGATCATATACATGCTTAGAAAAATTCCGAAACTTACATACCTGTTCAACATTGTAGCCATGTTTCTCTTTTGCAATTGCAATATATTCATCCACTACAACAAAAAGAACAACATCAAAAAAATAAACCCCAAAAAACACAAACCCAGAATTTCTTATTTAACTACATACAAATTTGTCCAAGCCTGATTTTGCACTCCCTCTCAAACAATATACATTCCAGGCATAAAAGTAATGTAAGTCATCTTTCATAAACTCTAAACTTTTTTTATTTAAAGAGGATTATGAGAATTCATTAAAAATTATATTCCAATATCCATGAATGTATAGAAAATGTATCATATAGCTATTGTTTGTGTTTCAATTGATACTATGGTTAGATATACATGTGGCTAAAAACACTAACTTGCAGGCAAAAGTTTTTTTTAATGCTGTAAATATATGATGATTTTCTTTTGATTTTAAGCTGCAGTCTCTATTGTGCAGAGCCTGTTGCTGTTTTTAATTATTTTTTAGATGTATTGGTCCAAAGCCTTTGTTGAAAAGTCATCCCACTCTGATCAATTCATACCTCACTAGTCTGCTGCTTTCTGGTCCAGAGGCATGCCACAATATTTAAAGCTGTGCTTAAATGTTTCCTCAATACCTTTCTTCTGCCTTCTTGCTCTCCATATCCCCACTTTAACCTAGCATTTGAGAAGCTGTTCCAAAATTTTATTTTCATTCATTTTCTACACAAATGTAAGGGTCGTGTTCAGATGACCAGTTTAACGGCAGTGTTCCAGGACCTCTCAGCTGGTGATCCTGCATTCAGGATTAGGTAAAACTTTCTGTGATGCCAGATTGCACTGATCTCTCTCCTCTGTATGGACCATACCTCAAAACGAACACTTCCATGCGTTATCCTCTAACTGGTTGCAAGACAAATTCTAGTATTTTATTAAGATTCCTGTTCCTTCACTCAAATTCTACTGTGATGCCCCATTATGGTATGGAGGTGATTCTGGGTTCAGATTATGCCAGCATGGACAAGATCTGGGTAGGTACTCCTACAATATAAAGGTTTCAGTACATCCAAATGAAAGACTGCTTTATTTTCTGAGGGCTAACCTAAGCTCAAAAGTTTGAAGAGGCTTCACCAAACTGGCCACCAAATTGTGAGTTTTTCATCCAAAGCAATTCTCAAAGACTATCTACTAATAGGTAGATGGGTTATGATACAGACAGTTATCACTTTACACAAATTTTGCTTTATGGAAAGAATTCCACATTCTAAAAAAAACTATGTTAACTTTACAGTACTGTGCTCTTGCTCTCATTCTTGCTCTCTCTCTCTCTCCTCATGACCTTCAGCTCTACACTCTGTGGCTTCCTACCTTCCCCTCCCAAAAAACCCCACTTAAAACATCTTCCAAGTGAAAGCAGAAGAACTTCTAGGGATAGGAGCTTGGCTTGAGATCTCCAGATTCGAGAAAGGAGACCTTTGTTCTGCTCTACCTACCTACCCATGTGTCTGACCACACTCCCCCCTTCTGTCTGTGCTGGGGTACCCATGACTGTCCCAGACTCTGTCATACTATCACCCTTCCTCTTCTGTTTGTGTCCTTGTCTGCCCTCAAGTGTCTGCCCCCACTTTCTATGTTCTTTCTCTTGGTTCTGGCCAGGCCCCCAAGTGTCTGGCTGTGTTCCTCCTCTTTCTCTCACTTCTCTATCCCCAGGATTATGTGCCAGCCCCCTACTCTGGGCTCACTGCCCCCTTCCTGTTCTTTTCTTCATTCTCTTTCTCATGTCTGTAGGCAAGTTTGCGTTACATAAAAATCACTTTACTTAGAGATCTGTGGAACAATCCACTTACGTAAACTGAGAACTGTCTGTATATGTCAATGGAAAAAGAATCCACACAGATGAAATCAAAGACCCATGAAATATGTGTTGCAAGGAGACTGTGTCCACTACTGTTTGATGAGCTGCATGTCTTACCCTTCACATAGACTGCAGACCCACTGGAAACAGAAACTATATGGTATGTCTTTAGTATTTACAGCTTAGAATAATGCTGGACATAAAAGATCTTCATGATCAATAAAGAGTTATTGACTAGTGTGATGTCCATAGTAGTTTCATGTCTTGCAGCCCTATAAAAATTTCTAGGCCTTGAGTTTGAATCTACTCCACTAGCATACACAGACTTTCAAAAATTAGTTTTCTTATTTTGTTAATGCATCATTATACACTATTCTGCCATAGACAGAATTTCAGTCCTCTGTTGCACATGTAAATCTCTGGCCATCTGTAGGCTTTCTCTAGTCCGAGCTAGTATGGGATCTCAGAATTATAATTATTGGTTTACTGCCACAGACCAACTCTATAAAATCATTAATGAAACCACATCTCTTCTCTCATGTGTATTTTAAAAGCACAGTTTTCAAGTCACACATAGTAATTCTTAGAATACTAAAACCTTCTGTGGTATTCCTAATACCCTGAGTTAGACAAATGTCGAGAAGCATAATCAGATATTACCAGAAGTTTAACAGTTAGGTAACAATTTTTGGATTTTAGCCACTTTGAGCCAGGGACTGGACAAGAACACAAAATGGTTCACAGCCCTAAGCATCCCCTTTCTACTCCTATAGTAAGAGTAGCAGAAAGGGGTGGGGACAAATTATGCTAAATACACACACATACAGTCCTTAGAGAAGCTATAAACATTACATTTTTGCTATGCTTAGCACGTGATCTTCATCTAACAGCCAATAAGTTTGTGGAACTAAGGCATACTCATTTTGACATTCTCACTGTAAGTGAAACCCAAATTCAAAGTTGCAACTAAATGAAAGAATGGCTTAAAGGTTCTCAGAAACATAAAAGAAGATACTGATTTCATTGCTTCCCTAAAGTCTGTATGAAACATCAATTCAAGGGACATGGTCATCTTACCTTTCAAGATTCACAATGAACATGAGCAAACATAATAACACAAAGACAAATGCAATTCATATGCATGTATCTGTTCAAGAGAGTGTAGTCAAGAAATCCTATGAAGAAATATACAAAATCCTCAAAATTAAGTGAATAAATGAATGTTCCTTCAAAACTAAGTGATAAGTTGATACTTAGTGACTTCAATGAAAAACACGTATATGAAAGAAAGGAGAAAACCATGTTAGAAAATGTAGTTTCAGACTAAGAAATGAAAGAAGCCTACTTTGAAGAAGACTACTTTGAAGCCTTGCACTAGTATATCACAAATACTTTCTTCTTTGGGGCTAGTACTCTATAAAAGAATTAATTTGCCTATATCTTAACAGACATGAAAGAATTAGCTGTGAATTCAGTAATCCAAATCATCTCTGTATACTTAGATCAAGAATTGGTAAGAGGCAAAGGTAAATACTAAATTAGAAAAAAGGATAAAGACATGACGAAATTGTGTGTAATTATAGCAGCTTCATTCCACCTATCAACTAAAAAATGAGAATTAATGTGCTCTTTATTTCTAACACCATTTCTTAAAGAATTCTGACAAACTGTCACAAAGAAGCAAAAAGAATCTAGAAAACTTGAGCCAATTTCTTGATTTCCTCACCAAGTGGAAAGATATGGCAACTTGAAGGCAATGCTAATTTAGAGTACAAGTTCATTTGTAAAACATGGAAGGGGAAAAGGAAAAGATAAAATAGTAACAAATATCTGAGGATAAAACAAGCATGAACAGAAATTGGTATGAAATCTAGCTAAAGATGACTGAGAACAATCAGAAGTGAAAAAAAATGAGGTACTAGACGGAGAACAGACTTTTCAGCATATTTATAGTGACAAGAGGACAGAATAACATTTGGATCCTATCATCTCAGTACCTAATGTACAACGATGAAGTAGCTATGGATAGGTTTGTCTGGTCCTGGTTAGTATATGATCTCTTCTAAAGGTTCTTTTTGAATATAACATGGGTCTTCCACTCACATTAAAATTATACAAGATTGACAGATTCAACCATGGAAACAACTCCCCCCAACAATTTGCTTTGTACTTTTATCGAGCAAGTTGTACAACAGAGAGATGTGCTCACCAATGTCACAGATGATAGGTGTCATGTGCAAAAGGGTCACCTAGACATGGCAGGGTTCTGCAAATGTTCCCATTTGCAGGTGACATTGTATTATTTGCATGAGCCCCCAAACACTGTAATACCCTCTCAATGAAATCCAAAGTACCACAAAAGAGATCAAGTGGTCTATGTCTGTTAGAAAAACAAGAAAGATCAGATATTGCCTAGACTTTGAGATAACAGCAGACATATAGCTAGATGGGTAACCTATTTAATTAATCTTTGCAACATGGATATATCTTAGAGACAAACAGGAAAAACAGGCAACAAGCTGGGCCCAAAATTGGAGGGAAGTGTTCAACAACATTATTCTGGCAATGGAACATAAAACTATCTTTAGAACTAAAATTATAAGCAGCCAAAAACACAATGGATAGCTGTATGAGGAGCCATAGTAGGCTGCATGTCATTAATTATTACCTTCATAGGAAAAAGGGCATAAAAGACAGAAAAGGAAATGTATAACCCATCTTTTTTTTACGGTCACACAAGTACTGAAAATGAGAGACAACAAATGAACAGCAGAATTGTATGTAATACACTCCAAATATTAAAAAAAACCAAACAGATGAAGGTTTCTCTAGTCTGTTAGGTGGATCATTCCTAAAGGACTTATGAAGATTGATGGATAAGACTCAGAATGAGAAAACAAAGAAGGACTGCAACCTGCTTCAATGAAAGGTATGCCCAAACCAGTGAAATCATGGTATCAAACTAGAGTCAGATGTCAATTTCCAGGTAGTTCAGAAACATGTCTGTACCTATGAAAAAACCATGATGTCAACATAGGACAGACTATTAACTTTGATATGGCCAACTACGTCACTGCAGACTATTAGAATATCCTTGGGTTACTGATGGATTCTAAAGCAAAACAAAATTTTTCAACAGCTGTTAGAACCTTAATCAATAATTCTGTTCAACACTTTTACAAAAATTCAATGAAAACCGTAGAAGTCACAGTACCATTTCCTGTACACTGCTTATATTTGATGAACAGCAAAGAATCATGTCTGTTACACCACACTGTGGTTTCAAGTCTCCTCATAAATCAGGGAATATTCAAATAGAGCTAGGGTCTCATCGATTTCAAAGATAGTTAATTACTTAAGTGGTTATTTGCCAGAAATAGTATATAGAAATGACCTGATGGTTATTGTAGTCAATTTCCCTACCTTTAATCTTAAAGAATGGTAATGGCCATCATGAGTTCTTTAAGTGTCATATCTTTTATCTATTGAGGAAAAGTCAGTGTAGATGATTACATAGCATCTCCTTCCTCTACTCAAAAATATTTTAGTAACTACATAGTCAGGTCATAGAGTTTCAATACCCTAACATGCATAAGGAAAAAAATACCAGTCTGTTCTATTTCCTTATGACTGACTCTTTGGCTCCAAATATGAGCTACATTTTGACAAGTTGGTAATATTGTTAATAATACTGTATCATAATACAAGGAAGGAAATAAGCATTTATATAGTGACTATTATTTGCTAGGCACTATATTAATTGTTTTACAAACATTATCTCGTTTGATTCTCACAACTCTGCAAGGTAGGTGCTTTTAATAACCCCATTTTACATTTGAAGAAACTGAGGCAAACCGAGGTTAAGTGACTTGCCCAGGCTTACAAAGTTAGGTAAGTGTCTAAGGCCAGATTTGAACTCAGATTTTACCGACTCCAAGCCCAGTGCTCCACCCACTGCGCCACTTAACTACCTCTATGCAATTGCTTACATTATATGGTGCTTAAATGTTTTCAAAATATTTTACATATAGTTGGTTTATGTTAAAAAAAAAAAAAGGCCAAATTTAGATACTGACTTACATTTGGCATCTGGAATGCTATGATATGGAGACCAAACAAGCATTCCTCCATTGTCTTTATCTGTGTACTTCGTAGCACCTGCAATGAAAATAAATCATTTTGAGTTCCACAGATCGCATTAACACTTCAAAAATGCGTGAAAAAGTAACTTTTACTTTTATTTCGGTAAAATATGTACACAAGAACAAAACATTTAAAAAGGGAAAGTTATATGCTAAATATATAACACCACCTTATTATGGAGTCTTTATTAATGGATTTTCCATAAAACTAAAACTTACCCCTTTAAGTATACAAAAACCTTTTAAAACCATTTTTGCTAGAAATCTATCCAAAATAAATTATATATTCTTGCCTTCTTAAATAGTTTGTACTAATTTTTTTATGACTCAGATTCATAATGTATATAATATTTGGTATTTATATACCTATTTACACATATGTTTTCCTCATTAGAATATATACTCTCTTTCAGGGAAGGAACTATTTTGTTTGTTAGCACCTAGCAGAATGCCTGGCACACAGTTAATACTTAAAAAATGTTTATTGATTGCTTTATTACACTGTGCTGTAATGGTGATGCTTTCAGTAGTTTTGAATTGTAGGTTATGGTTGTTGTTTTTTCCATCAAATGGGTTCCCAAACTACTATACTTTGAGTTCTAGTTTTAGCTTTTTATAAATTTTTTTCTCTCTTGCTTACTTTTTTTTTTTTAAAGGCAAATTGGGGTTAAGTGACTTGCCCAGGGTCACACAGCTAGTAAGTGTCAAGTGTTTGGTCTGAGGCCAAATTTGAACTCAGGTCCTGCTGACTTCAGGGCCGGTGCTCTATCCACTGCACCACCTAGCTGCCCCTCTTGGTTACTTCTTGCTGTGATCAGTGTTCCTTCTAATTTGCTACTTTTAATATGGCATATGAGGCTAAGAAGCCAAATAACCAGACTTGTTAGAATTATATATAAGTAAAAGAATACCTATAAGAGAGACCTGTCAAGTCATTAGTCAGCATGCATTAAGCACATGAAGTCTGTGACAAAAAAGGCTTATTTCCTTTTCCTACACCCTCACTTGTCAGAGTGGTCAGAATGCTCAACTTGAAGTCAGGAAGACCTGAATTCAAATCATGCTACAGACACTCATTGTGTGACCATGGGTAAGTCATTAATCTCTCTATATCTCAGTTTCCTCATTTGTAAAATGAGAGTGTTGAATTCAATGGCTTCAGAGGTCCTTTCTAGTTCTAAATCTATGCTCCTATGATTCCAAGAATGTTTCCAATAGTTAAAGATTTTAGGTGAGTTGTTACTATACCAATTTATTAAGCTATCTCCAGAACAGAATGCTGTAACATCTTTAATGATGAAAAATTTAAAATCTACCCCAAGTAATGAAAAGAATTTAAAAATTATCTAATGTTAATAGCTGATATTTATACAGTGTTTTAAAGGTTATAAAATACTTTACATACATTATTTCATTTTATTCTCATGATAATCCTGTGAGGTAGATAGTACATTTATCATTATTTCCTTTATTTTGTAGATGAAGAAACACACTCAGAGATTTTAAATGATTTGTCCATGGTACCACAGCTAGGAAGTATCACAAGCAGGATTCAAATCCAGGTTTCTCTTCATTCCAAGTCCAATGCTCTATGATACCATGCTGCCTACTGACAAAGGATTTGGAAGTAAAATTGACATAAACGACAAAGTTGTAACATGCCTGGAATAAAAAAAAACAAACAAAACAAACCCAAAACCTTGCAGAGTGGGAGGTAAAGCTACTGCTTTGAAAACATAGTGCTCTTTCTAGAGAATGTACCTATCACCTAAAACATTTCTGCTCCTCCATCCCTCTCTAGCCAAAGTGGTATTTCAATATCTATCACCATGATTATTAGAAGTGTTGCCACAATGCTATGGCAAATTTTGTGTAGCTGTATATTGTTATATTGTGACTAAATGCAAAACTAATTGTTACAAAGTACAACTATAGTAACATGTAAGGAAAAATTAAGAGATAAGAGAAGAAAATGGAGGAACCTACCAAATTATTATAGATCCATACCTAAACATACTGGAAAATAAGTGGCTTTTAAAGTAAATAAGCCTCCATTATAATTTCTGCTGAATTTTTTGTTTGTTTTTTTTTAGTGGTGCAATCAGGGTTAAGTGATTTGCCCAAGGTCACACTGCTAGTACGTGTCAAGTGGTTGGTCTGAGACCGCATTTGAACTCAGGTCCTCCTGACTTCAGGGTCGGTGCTCTATCCACTGTGCCACCTAACTGCCCCCTGCTGAATTTTTTAAAAGGTTGTCCTCAGACCCTAAGAAAAACTAAGCGACACTGTGGTTTTGGAAAAGGCAAGTTTTTTTTTTTAAATTACTCAATACAAAGCAGTTTTAAAGCGTTTCAATAACTTAAGTCAATCAATAAATGCTGATTAATAACCCTATAAGTAAAATCTAGTCTCCATCTACATTCTTGTCTAAATAATGAAATTACAAAACTTTAATCAAATGTATTGTTGCTATGTCTTTGTGATAATAAACTTTAAGATTTGAAGATGTGACTGGGTTCTTTGGTACAACAAACTGGAATTCTAGAGGAATGATTCAAATATCATTTAAGAGCAGAGTAACCTAAAATCTTAAATGGCACAATACACATTTCAAATGTGGTTTTCTATCCCATTACTACTTTAAATAGTCCAAAAAATCTGAAATAGAAAGCGTCCTCATTAAGTTTCTCTTTCTAAACAGATATATGCTGGTTTATTATTACAGGTTGTAAGAATGATGACAGTTTTCCCTGAAAATTCTTACCATTGTAATTAAGGGTCTGATCCAACAGAAACTGGCATCCACAGCAGCTGTTCCACTGAAGCACGACAAGCTTCTTCAGCTCTACAGCTGTGAGGACTAATAGCTATTCTAATATGGAAAAATCCCATTTAGTAGCAGTGGAATGCCTAATTAGACATTTCATATTGTCCTTTGCCCAGCCCCAAGTCAGACTCCACAGTTTTCAATTGCTACATGTGGCAACCAAGCCGAGAAGATGATATTGATGTTCTCAGGCATTCTACTAAGTTTACTCAAGAAGGTTCTTTAGTAATTTTACTTCTCAATAAGGGTTCTTTTGTCCTTGTTGGTGAACTGAGAAAAAGTGATGAGACTATGATTCCAAAGGCATGATGCTCACCCTGACCCCATGAAAGTGAGAATGGATAGGAGAAATGACCTTTTGTCCTTTCTGTCTACTCTCAGACCATATTTCTCTCCTAGAAAACAGCAAAAGAACAAAAACAAAAACAAAAAGCTAGTATGCAGAATTTAAAACACCATATGCTTGTCCCATTAGAAGCCTGGCACCCTATGAGGTTTCTCTTTCCTCCCTTCAGGAGCTAAAATGAAAAAGAAAAATAAAGTCCTAAACCCAGTGTTTGGTTTTGACTTCTAACTTCACATTAGCTGTTTTGTAGCAGAGCTTATACCTAGCCAGCATACATAAACTAATGATAACTGAGTATGAATCATCCATAACATGTGAGAAGAGATACTACTCTCTATCTTCTAAACGAACACAAAATTAAATAATTTTTCAAACATCACCATGAAATGTATTTAATTCTGAAAAACTTAAGTGATTTAATACAAAAAAGAGTAAAATTCCTAATATTTAAGTTCCCGTTAGAAATTTTTAAGGTCCTCAACCACATCTGGTGAGGCAGTTATGATAGTAACAAACTGACATTTATATAGTGATTTAAAGTGTGTAAAATAGCTTACAAACATTATCTCATTTGAGCCTAACAACAATCCTGTGAGGTAGGTACCACAGATATTACCAAACTCATTTTACGTTTGAGAAAACTGAAGGTCAAGGAGGATGGGTGGATTGTTCGTGGTCACCTATCTATCACAAACAAATATGTATCAACAGCAGCATTTGAACCTAGAACCTCCTAATTTCAAGTCCACTGTTCCATTCTAAGCAAATAATAGTGGGAATCAGAAGACTCTCCCAACAATTGAGTGAGTTAGTGGCATTCCTCTATCAAGTAAAATGAAAACCTCTGTTAATCCTCAAGATTTTGTTTTCTGAACATATACTCACAATGCAGACATGAACAGGATAGTAAACAAAAAAGGCTTAAATACTGACAATTTCATAAGAGTTCTCTGTACACACAGCACACGCTCAAAATCTGACCAAATTGATAAAGAGTCAAACTAGAAGCTACATAAGAGGAGGAAAATCAGAAATCCAGCCAGTGAATTATGAAGTCAATAGTTTTGGTTACTTTATTTACCAAGGCTATCCCTATAATTTCTCCTTCATTATTTTACTAAAACCTTAATCCTTCTAATTACTTTTAATTACACAAACTAACATTCTGATCTTTTCCCTTAAAATTTTTTGTTTCTCATCACTTCTTCCATTTCAAATCTCATCTTTCAAACCTCCTACCTCTTGCTAAAAACCACACAGCTTCTGATCCAAGCAATTATGGATTTCAAAAACTCAGCCCCAAATGATTTGGTAAGATACGAACATAAGTAAATATCACCATCCTGATGACAATCAAGGATATTGAGAGAAATATGAAAACTGAAGTATAGGAGCCAGGAATATGATTAAGGTAATAGGAACAACTTCTAAATGTTAATCAATAAAACATATTATTCTATTTTTTTATTAAAAATATGCTGTAATTTTGACTTCATTATGTTGAGTTGATGAAGTATAGTTGAATAAAAACATAGTACTTACTAGAGTAAAATTAGGTGATAGGACTATGTTCAAACAGCATTTGACAGTACCTGTCAAAATCGAAGAGACATGGCAGGTGCCTGATAATTAATCTTTAGTTGACAGTTGACCTCACATAAATTTTAGCGTTGGCCTGTTCTGATTACCACCTTTAACATTCTTCATATAGGATCATTAGGAAATAGGGAATTATTTATTAGGAAATATACTGTGTAGAACTTAAATAACAGGGAACTATCATAACATTTATTCTCTAAATCAAGGGAGCCAATACCAATTTTAATCTATACAATGAAGGAATAGAATCTGACCTTGGTAATTTAAATGTAGAAAATAACAATTGAGTGGCTTTTCAGAAAATTGTGTTCAAATTAAAATACAACTAAAATACAAGCAAGGCTATCAAAAAGTTGGATAATCCAAATAACAATACCTACATTAAATCACCTACAATTCTGTAATTTGTATCTTCCAAAAAACACAACCCACTAAGTTTGTACCCTCAAAATAATTATGGCTATTTTGAAATGTAGTTAAGATTTCTTTTTCTATTTTTAAATAAATTCTTTACAATAATCAGTCCTTGGCATGCACGGCTTTGTTCCGGCATGAAGTGTGGCTTTCAAAGAGATGACGCCTCATAAACCTGATCAGAAAGGAGAATAAAATTATTTAGGTGGGTTTACAAGTAAAAATCTATTTGGTTAACAGACATCCACGTTAAAGAATTTATGGAATAATTTTGGCTTCAGGGGATATATTACCTTTAAAAAAAACCCCTTTATCAACTTAAAGAAAGCAGAAAACATTAAATTTACTAAGTGTGTAAAAGGCGCAGACACATTCTCTAACCTCTCCAAGGGCATTCTGACAGGCAAAGCAAATGAAGTACCCTTAGTAGCTGCAAGCTGGACTTTATCAGGTGGTAGTGTTAAATGTACAGCTACCAGTTGAACAAGTAAAGAAGGCCACACTTTCACAAAGCACTTAACATGGCTTCAGAAGACTTATGGTATATATCATATACATATATTGTACATCAAATAATATTTGATAGTTGTGTCACTTAAATGACAACAGAAATGAAGACAGCACTTTAGTTCAACTATTTTTGCAGCTGTACATAGAAAATATACAGCTTTTCAGTCACAAATATGATATATCTCTTTTTCTATTTGCTTTAGGAAAAACTAAGTGACCTTCAATGACCTTATCAATTTAAATGGGAGCCAGTCAATTTATACCGGCCTAGTACACGAAGGGGCTAGGGAGTATACGTAGTTGAAGGAGGTCCAGAACAACCACAAAGACTGCCCTAAACATCCTTCTTGTTTATTTGGACCAAGTAAAATACATTATTTCATCAAGAAAATGAAAATAAGTTGTATAGGAATAAAATAACTTAAAAGGATGCCATCCTGACTTAATACAAGTTAAAAACAGTGAATTAAGAAGAAAAGTGATAACACTGCAATTAAATGACCTCTTAATTAATTATCTGTCCTCAGTCTTAAACTACAGGGGGTCGAAAGAAAAAATGTGATCCCCATCAAAGGGCTCCCACAAGGGAGTCTCCACATGAGGAACTCTCATCCAATCCCCTTCCCAGCTGACATCCCGTGACCACCACGGAGCTTATTTGGAGAAAAGTAGACTGGGAGCCCGCAAGCTGGGCTGGCAAAGGGCGCTAGAACCTGGCTGCTCACTGAGAAAATGTCTCCTTGGCAGCTGCAGCCACCGTCCTGTGGTCTGACTTCCTAGGGCTGACTAGCAGACGAGGTGTGACTCTAGCGTCTCCCCACCCCCTTTTCCCCTCCTCTCGGCAGCTCTTAAGTCTGCAGAGGCGCCTCTACCGAGGCTACTCCACCTTGCAAAAAAAAAAAAAAAATCCCGTCTGCACTCAGCTCAGAGCTTGCCTTCCGACTCAGCAGGGTGACAGTAGTCAAGCAGTAATTCACCGCCCTTGCAGAACACATCCCTTTCATTGCCAGTGACAGGTTATTAAGCACGAAATATTTCTGTATTTTTTTTTCCATTTTTCCCCCTACACTAATTCCTCATATTCTCTCTGATTTGCGGCACCTCCTCCCCAAAGCACATTTGGGGGTTTGCCTTAAACACCCTTTCCCCCACCAGTTCAGGTGCTTCTCTACTGGGTAAAAGATGCTTCTCCTTCCTCTCACCCAAACCTGCTTGGGCTTCTTGGGTGGAGTAGAGATCCTTCAAGTGGCCTCCAATGGGAACCATGTTAACCTTGCAAGGCACAGCTTTCACACCCCTCTGCCTATATGCCTTCTGTGTTACAACCCCTCCAACCCTGACAGCCTCCCAGACAGAAGACGCCTAACCCATCCCTTCCCCACCCTCCTACAACATCCACTTTAGCCAGTTATCCCAGAGACGCCCCCCTCCCACTCCCACTCTCATCTATTCCATCCCAAAGTCAATATAACAGGAAAAAAAAAAGCCAGCATTTTTTTTTTTTAAAGCAAATACCGAGATATTTACCAGGATCAAATTCAGGGATCCGAGCTTGGTATTCGGCGCCGACTCTCATCCCAACATCTGCAAAGCAATACAAAAATAAATAAATAAAATATTTTTTTAAAAAGAAAAAGAAAAAAGCACTTAATAAAAATTAAAATTGTATAAGACTGGAAAGATGGAATGTGGTGGGTAGGAAAATATTAACTCCAAGCCCCCGGCGAAATAGATGCAAATAAGGGGGCCTGGGGTGGGGAGGGAAGACTAATGAGGGGAAAGGAGTGGAAGAGGGGGTCGCGGTGGGTGCTGCTGCTGCGGCTGCACTGCACCGGGAGTTCGAGGCTACCGCAGCGCCCGGGCTCGGAGGGGAGGGAATAGGGAGGGGGAAAGGGGTTGGGGGAGGGGAGTAAAGAAGGGGGAGGGGAGGGGGGAGCGGGAGAGCTGGCGGGGAGGAGTTCGAGGCTACCACCGTGCTCGTCGTCGCTGCTGCAGCCGCTCTCGGGCTCCGAGTAGTGGAGCCCGCCGTTGGTAGACGAAGCGACGCCGCCGCTGCCGGCCGGGCTCTTGGTGTTGCCGTTGGCCGTGCGGTTCTTCCCCAGGAACTCAGGCCCTTTCTCCATCATGCCGGGCATGGTAGAAAGGGGGAGGGGGGAGGAGGTGAGGGGGGAGAGGTAGGCTTCTGGGAGAAGGGGGGAGAGGGCTCCCGAGTGAGGGAGGGAGAAGGAGGAGGAGGAGTGGAAGGAGGATGAGGAGGGGGAGGAGGAAGGGGGAGGAGAAGGAGGAGGGAGGAGGAGGAGGAAGGAGAAGAAGGAGGAGGAGGAAGAGGAGGAGGAGGAGGAGGGTGTTAATGTGGAGCCGCCATAACCGCCCCGGTCAGGCAGTAGCGCAGTCGCCTCACAACAACCCGCCCCTGCCCCGCCTCCCCTCGCTTCCCCTCCCCTGCCTCCGCCCCCGGGGCCCCCGGGCTGGCCTCGCTCCTCGGCCTCCCTCCCCGCCGCCACCGCGGCTGGTATCACTCCGCCCCGCGGGGAGGATCCGGCTGCCGGCGGGGGAGGGGGCGGACGGGTGGCTAGAGCTGGGTAGGGAAGGTGGGAAAGGAAAAGCCCAGCTCCTGAAGAAGGCTCTGGCCAGCCCCCAAGGCCCGGCAAAGCCACAGGCGGGGCGGAGCCAGGCGAGGCGGCTGCTCTGGCGCCCTTACATGGAGAAGGAGGCGCGCTGGGGGCTCGCGTTTGCGACCCGAGTTGAAGGTGGAGTTGGGGGGCGGGGGCGGGACTCTTTGCAGTCGCTGGGGCGGAAGGAACTCGGGTCAGTCGAAGGGAAGGGAGGTCCGTGAGGCGGCCACCTTAAGTCTGGCGGAGGAGGTGGAAGAGGCTGATTCGGCGGCGCAGGCGGAGGGCCGGGGCCGGGGGTGGGGAGGGGACTGGGAGGTGGTCTGCCCTGCATCCCCCTCTGTTCCCAGATGGATGCTGTGGGCTCCAGTTCCCGACCCTGAGGTTTCCTCTGCGGGCCGAGCCACAGCCGTCCAGCTTACGTTTGCTCCTCACCGGGTCTGGGTCCTGAGTCTCAGCCCGTGAGAAGGGTAGGCTTCCTTCCACTCGCTCTCCTGTTGAGCAGACAACAATAACTACCCCCAAAAGTGAGATCTTATTCATTTTATTAAGCCCTTTGCCGGGTCTTACACCTGGGGGCGGAATCCCTGGAGGCCGAGGAAGGTGAGAAGGTACTTCTGGGCTGGGTCAATCAGCTGTGTGGTGTCTAAAGGATTTCCTCTTTTTCTCTCTTCCTCTTCACTCCTTTCGTTTTTTCTTCTTGTTATTTAACATTTATGGAGTGACTGGGAAAGGGGGACGATAAGATTTGGAAAGGCTCCCAGCCCTGTTGGCTCAAAGTCAGTCAGTTACAGACAAGCCAGTTGGAGGAAGGCAGTGAGATGAGGAGGAGTCAGGATGTAGCCCTGATCTAGAAGTGAAGAAAGAGCTGTTTTCTGGAGGTGTTTTTCAGTCCTGAAGTGACCCTTTGAGGTGTCGGCTCAAAAGAAGTAAGGCCAGGCAAAAGAAACAACGTGGAAGAACGCCCGTCAGTGTATCTCACTCCCACTCCCCCACCTCCACTCCTTGACTATTTCATAGATTAGGTGAGAAAGAAAAGGATTCGCATGAGCAGTATCAATGTTTTGATAAAAACTTTGTTTTTTCCTAGATTGGGGGAGGAGTGAAGATGAATCTTCAAAACTTTTTGGACTTTGAAGTCTTTCTGGACTTAAGGGTTTGGAATTCAAGCTCTGCTACTCTAGAACCTTTACACTAATTTTTAGTAAGACCCTGGGAAAATTGGCTCACACTGGTCAAACTCAGTGGAAACTCAGTGGTATCAGAATAATTTATAAAGGAGGTTTTAATTTTTTGATCTAGATAGAATTTCCTAGGAAGATTATTTTTATGTATAAGTGTTTTGGATTCTAATGGAAAACATTCCTTTTTCATAGAGGTAGCCTAAATTAACACAAGAAGGTTGCTTCTATATTAAGAACCTGCTAAATGTGGTAGTTTTTAGGGTTTACAGAAGATACAAAGATTCAATTCAACAAGGATAAGTTGTAAGAAATTTCCCAAACACTTTGGGATTGAGGATACAAAGAAAAATGAAAACAATTCCTATACTCATGGACTAACATTTTACTGGAAATAAGACATCACCTCTGATTTCATTCATAATACTTCAGGGAGCAGAAACACTAATATACAATGCTGTGTAATAAATATAGTGCTGAACATGTTAAGCATAAAATGCTATGTAAGGTATGAAAAGAAGAAAAGTTATTTAGGTTTTTTGGAGAATATAGTTGAGCTAAGTCTTCAAAGATAAACCTTTCAACAGTCAGATGGTTTAGGATCTCGGAGCTAAAAAGGTACTATGACGTAGCTTGCCCAATCTTGCTGGACTGGACACTCCCACAGCCTTTGTCTGCAGACAAAGCAGAACAGGTGCTCTCGTGCAGATTCTGTACACATATGTGTTCCAAGTGTCTTATTGTGCCATCCTTAAGTATATGCCACAAAAAGACTCCAAGTGGCTCTAGCAATTCTGATTCTATACAAGTTTTACATCACAAGAGTCTCTAATTGCTTCATGGCAAGGGTCTCTAATATGAGCTAACTCATTCAACAATAAACATTTATTGACCATTATGTATAAGTCATTTTGTCTGTTTTATACAGTGGGGACCTAAAATTAAGTTCAAACAAATATTAAGTGCTTACATGGAAGGGAGTGTGCTACACCAAGATATATACATCATGGTCCTTACCCTCAAGGAAAAGAAATAAGATAACACAGCAACTATAATAGAAGGGACAATGTGTTAAGTGTTATATGAGAGACACAGAAAGTGTTATGAAACTAGAGGAACTAAATATTACATCTGGTTTGGGGAATCAGGGAAAGCTTGAGGGAGGTGGTATTTTGTTTGGGCCTTGAAGGATTTTTACTATGGACATTGTGCCAAGTGGAGGGGATAACATTAAGGACAGTTTATAGAGAAAGAAAGGACATATTTCAGGAGCAGCAATTAGTCCAGTTTGGGAGTTAGGGTACATGAATGTACAAAAGAATAGTAAGAAGATTAGTAACAAAAGACAACGTACTTTTAATATCAAGTAGCCTAAGTTAAGCCCTTTGAGACAGAGCTATAATTTGGGCACCACTCTGTAACTTTTAGGCTGAAGCAACAGATCGTAGAACTAGAGGAGATCTAAGAGACCTATATAGAGTGTTTATTTTTCCAAGGGGAACTTGGAACTCAGGGAAGTTAAGGGATTTGCTCAAGGCCACAAGTTTGTGGCAGAACCAAGACTAGAGTCAAGGTATTCAAACTCAGTCTGGTGACTGCATCTTCTTTATGTTACATTTAGAAATGTTCACTCCCTCCTCCAAAACCTGGTAGCATTAATTTTCTGGACTATTAATCTCTTACATGCCCAGCTAAATTAAAAACTTCTTGAGAGAATGGATGGTTTCTTTATTCGTTCAATAAGTATTTATTAAGCACGTATATGCTGGGCATCCTACTACCTGCTGGGCCTCAGAAAAAAACAATAGCTCTTGTCCTACTTTCTGTTGAGTTCTACTCAGACTAGCAACTGTCTATTGGACATTTCCAACTGAACGTCCAATTAGCATCATTTTAATCATGTCCAAAACAGAACTCATCATTTCCCCCAAATTCATCCCTCTTCCTAACTTCCCTATGGTACCTTTGGGGGTACAGCCATCCTTTTACTCACCCAATTTCACAACCTTAGATTCCTACTTGACTCTTTCTTCTCCCTCATCCATTTCCCCATAAATATTTAGTTGTCAAGTCTTTTAATTCACCCCCACAGTTCACATTCATCCCCTCCTTTCCGTTCACAACTGCCATCCTAGTTTAGACCCTCATCAGCTCCTGAACTGTATCAATAGCCTCCTGTTGGTTTTCCAATCCATCTCCACACAGCTACCAAAGTAATTTTTCATAAAGTACAGGTCTTAATATGTCACTGTCTTATTTGAAAAAGTACAAGTAGTTTCCTTTTACCTCTAGAGTCAAATAGATCTCAGATACACTGCTAGGGTTGTATGGGGTGTTTAGGAAGGACTAGCACCTCTGGTGTAAAGGCTTACTGAGCCTTTTTCAGGGCTACTCATCCACCTTTGGTGTCAGTCTTTCACCCAACTCCTAACTGGCTCCAAGAAGCTGCAGCATGCACAGTGGATGGGCTCATCAGATATACAACAATAACAACTCAGCAGATGGGCTAAACTAGGTTGAGGGTAACCTACAGGCCTCAAACCTGTGGGTGAGTTAGGGGGATGTCTACCCCAAGCATGTGAAGACCTCTTGGTGGGATGGGTGGATGGGAACAATTTGTTCTAATAGCCATGACAGCAGCTGAAGCAGCTGCTTTGGAGCACTTTGAGCTTTGTCAGGCATCAAAGATGTCAAGGTCATCGACTGTATCCCAGACCATTGGCAGTTTGACTTCTGTCTTGTCACTGGACTTCAGTGACTCTGGAAGAGAGTATGAGGCGGATGACTTTGTGCAACTCTGCCTCACTTAAATCCAATTCACTTGCAAGTCAAGACGTCATCCCCCTGATGTCATGAAACAGGATGAACAACAGGTCAAATACAAATCCCTCTATTTGGCATTTAAAGCCCTTCACAATCTGGCTCTACTCTCCACCCCCATCCCCAATTTACTACATATTACTCATGTTCATATGTTCCATGAACCATCTACACTAGCCCACTTGATGTTTGTTGCTCATAAACAGAATTCCATCTTCTGTCTCCATTCTTTTGCATAGGTTTCCTTGCATGCCTAGAACATACTCCCTTCTCACCACCTGTTTGAATTTCTAAATTTTTTCAAAGCTCAATTTAAGGCACCACTCTCTACATTGTCTTTCCTGCTCCCATTTCACATATTCCCATGTATTTACATTGTTGGGTTTTTTTTTGGGGGGGGTAGGAGTACATCTGTGATTTCATTGATATAGGGAAAGGAATTAGCATTTATAAAGTGCCCACTGTGTGCCAGTGTTAAATGCTTTATGAATATTTTTCTTGTTTGATCCTCACAACTCTGTGAGGTAATGCTATTATTATCACCCCCATTTTACAGCTGAGGAAACTGAAGCAGGCAGAGATGAACTGATTTGTCCAGGGTCACACAACTAGTAAGTAATTGAAGCCAGATTTGAATTCAAATATTCTTGACTGCCAAGAGCAGTTTTGTGGCACAGTGGATAGAGTGGTGGGTCTAAAATCAAAAAGACCTGGGTTCACATCTGCCCTCAGACACTTACTAACTGTGACCCTGGACAAGTCACTTAAACTTGTTTGTCTCAGTTTCCTCATCTGGAAAATGAGCTGGAGAAGGAAAGGGCAAACCACTCCAGTGTCTTTGCCAAGAAAACCCAAAAAGGGTTCATGAAGAGTGGGACCCAACTGAATAACAACAACTTCCTGACTTTGGGCCCAGTGTTCTATCCACTCACTGCACCACTTAGCTGCTTCTATAAAAGGGAACTCCCGTTGAGAAACTTCTACAACCAACGCAGTGTGGTACCTGCAATCTGTAGTCTGAGTGGCCTAGGGACACGAAAAAGTTAAATGACTTGCTCGAGGTAACAGTCCCTATTTGTCTTTGAACTTGAATTCATGTATTGCTGACTCAGAAGACAACTATATATCTAATACTCCATGCTGCCTACAAAAGCATTTATTTTGTATATAGTTTGTATCTAGTTATAGGTGTATGTGTCACATACATGCCCACAGAGTGTCAACTCCTTGAGAGCAAGGACTGTTTTTATCTTTGAATGACTAGCATAAGGCTCAACATATAGTAGGTACTTAATAAATGCTTGTTGATTAATTGACTCAAAGAACTTACATTCTATTTGGGGAAAACAATATTCACAGAAAATGCGCTACACATACATATATACATACACATATACATGCATAAAGTATTACAAAGTAACTTCTGGAGGTTGAGTACTAGCACATGGTGGAATCTGAGTCACTTTTTTGTAGGACCTTAGCTAAACACCTCCAGGAAGCTAGAGACTTTTTGAGGCAGAGATTTGATAGCGCATTCCAAGCATCTCCGTGCTAGTACAAAGATGGAAGATGGAACATTGTGTGTGAGGAGCAGCAAAAAAAGCCATTTCAGCTGAGCCAAAATGTGAAAGACAGTCATGTGCAGTAAACATGCAGAGGAAGGCTGGAACCAGATCATAAGGGACTATTTAAATGTCAAACAGGAGTTTGTATTTTATCTGAGAGGTAGAAGGGAACTGCTGGAACAGGGGAATGACATGGTCAGACTTTGGCTTTAGGAATATCAGTTGGCATACTGTCCTTTGTATTTCTAGCATTCAGCATCTGGTAGATAATAAATGTTTGATGATGATTATAGCTTTTAGGTTTCCAGGGAACCATCTAGTATTCTGAAGTAGGGATATCTGCTTTATACAGTACCTGACATAAGATTTAAACATGGACAGAGAAAAATAGCTGTGCCTGCTGTTGACTATAGAAAATAAATATTTCCTTGAAATCCCTTAAATTGTGTAATGCCTTTTTCCAGAGACTGTCAAGAGTAGATGGGGTGCAGATACTTTTATCTGTAGCTATTTTAGATTCTTAGTTTTAGGAGCTGCCAGAGCAGAAGGTCTACCAAGGGACCATCAAGGAGGGTATGGATGCCTCCAGAATAAAAAAAGACCTAACCTTCTTGTAAGCAACTTGAGTTGACAGATTGTAGACTTTGCACTCCTTTTGTATCAGCTTGCTGTTCTTCAACAGATTCCCTTAGCTTTTATCCCTGATTTGCAATTGGCCTACCTCTCATCTCAGCCCCTTGGGTACTGGGGCTTCAGGTAACACTATTCTTTGGATTCTGTCCTTCTCTTCCAGTCTCCAACTTCAGCTTCCTCTACCCCTAAAGATGATTACTCTTCTCCTGACCTGAATATTGCCCTAATTACTGTAATGTTCTGGTTCTGCTTCGCATGGCCCATAATAGATAGCAGTGCTCTAGTTTTTTAATTTATTTTGCTTTTCTTCCTTGATGGGGATAAAGTAATATTCCAAGGGGTTTCTTTTCATACAGAGACAGTATCTGTTTCCTCTTTGAATCTGGTCCCTGGGAGTAACATAACTTATCCGGTCTTCATAGAAAAAATTCTGTACTCATGTTTTGAACAAAGATATTTATGGTTACTTCTTTCCTAACCTCTAATATAGGGTTTACTACATAGGGACTTAGTGTTTGTTGAATTAAATTATGAAATTCAGTAGGTATAAATATAAAGTCTTACATTTTAGGTTCAAAGAGTCAGCTATACAAGTACAAGGCATCGTTTATGGTTTTTCTAAAAAAAAAAAAATCTGGCACTTTTAGTGTACTGCAAGTTCAGTGAATCGGTAATGTAATATGACAGCCAAAACATGAATGTGATCTTGGGTAGTTTTAAGAGAGACACAGCTTCCGGAGTTAGGAGCTGATAGTCCCCTGTACTCTTCCCTAGTCAGATTGCATCTGGAAGATCACATTCATTTCTAGGCACC